AGTGTCAGCTGAGTGTGAGATGAGTGAGCCCTGAGTGTGCGCTGAGTGTGAGCTGAGTGTGAGCTGAGTGTGAGCTGAGTGTGCGCTGAGTGTGCCCTGAGTGTGCGCTGAGTATGCCCTGAGTGTGAGCTGAGTGTGAGCTGAGAGTGCCCTGAGTGTGAGCTGAGTGTGCGCTGAGTGTGCGCTGAGTGTGCGCTGAGTGTGCCCTGAGTGTGCCCTGAGTGTGAGCTGAGTGTGAGCTGAGTGTGCGCTGAGTGTGAGCTGAGTGTGAGCTGAGTGTGCGCTGAGTGTGAGCTGAGTGTGCCCTGAGTGTGCGCTGAGTATGCCCTGAGTGTGAGCTGAGTGTGAGCTGAGAGTGCCCTGAGTGTGAGCTGAGTGTGCGCTGACTGTGCCCTGAGTGTGAGCTGAGTGTGAGCTGAGTGTGCGCTGAGTGTGCGCTGAGTGTGAGCTGAGTGTGAGATGAGTGTGAGCTGAGTGTGAGCTGAGTGTGCGCTGAGTGTGCGCTGAGTGTGNTGTGCGCTGAGTGTGCGCTGAGTGTGCGCTGAGTGTGAGCTGAGTGTGCGCTGAGTGTGAGCTGAGTGTGAGCTGAGTGTGAGCTGAGTGTGCCCTGAGTGTGAGCTGAGTGTGCCCTGAGTGTGCGCTGAGTGTGAGTTGAGTGTGAGCTGAGTGTGCCCTGAGTGCGAGCTGAGTGTGAGCTGAGTGTCAGCTGAGTGTGAGCTGAGTGTGAGCTGAGTGTGCGCTGAGTGTGAGTTGAGTGTGAGCTGAGTGTGCACTGAGTGTGAGCTGAGTGTGAGCTGAGTGTGCCCTGTGTGCGAGCTGAGTGTGAGCTGAGTGTGAGCTGAGTGTGAGTTGAGTGTGTTTGATGCGTGCTCAATGTGTAATTAGCATGTGTCTAATCAATCAGTAATTATCGTGTGTTTAATCTGTAATTAGCGTGTGTTTAGTCAGTAATTAGCGTGTGTTTGATCTGTCATTAGCGTGTGTTTACTCTGTCATTAGCGTGGGTTTAATCAATCAGTAATTAGCATGTGTTTACTCTGTCATTAGCGTGTGTTTAATCTGTAATTAGCGTGTGTTTAGTCAGTAATTAGCGTGTGTTTAGTCAGTAATTAGCGTGTGTTTGATCTGTCATTAGCGTGTGTTTAATGTGTCTTTAGCATGTGTTTATGTGTCATTAGCATGTGTTTACTCTGTCATTAGCGCATGTTTACTCTGTCATTAGCGTGTGTTTAATGTGTCATTAGCGTGTGTTTACTCTGTCATTAGCGTGTGTTTAATGTGTCATTAGCGTGTGTTTACTCTGTCATTAGCGTGTGTTTACTCTGTCATTAGCGTGTGTTTATGTGTCATTAGCGTGTGTTTAATGTGTAATTAACGTGTGTCTAATCAATCAGTAATTAGCGTGTGTTTACTCTGTCATTAGCGTGTGTTCATGTGTCATTAGCGTGTGTTCATGTGTCATTAGCGTGTGTTTAATGTGTCATTTGCGTGTGTTTAATGTGTCATTAGTGTGTGTTTAATGTGTCTTTATCGTGTGTTTATGTGTCATTAGTGTGTGTTTAATGTGTCATTAGCGTGTGTTTACTCTGTCATTAGCGTGTGGTTCCGTGGCCCCGGTGTCTCAGGTGTGCTCAGAGCTCTCTCACGTGTTCGTTGTGTGTTCGACGTGCACAGGTGAGCTCCAGGTGTGGGTCGTGTCCTTGGCTCACCCTCAGCATGTCCAGGTGTGTTTCACCCCCGCCAGGTGTGTTCCCTGTCCAGGTGTGTTCCCTGTCCAGGTGTGTTCCATGTCCAGGTGTGTTCCCTGTCCAGGTGTGTTCCCTGTCCAGGTGTGTTCCATGTCCAGGTGTTTCCTGTCCAGGTGTGTTCCCTGTCCAGGTGTTTTCCTGTCCAGGTGTGTTCCCTGTCCAGGTGTGTTCCCTGTCCAGGTGTTTCCCTGTCCAGGTGTTTCCCTGTCCAGGTGTGTTCCCTGTCCAGGTGTGTTCCATGTCCAGGTGTTTCCTGTCCAGGTGTTTCCTGTCCAGGTGTTTCCCTGTCCAGGTGTGTTCCCTGTCCAGGTGTGTTCCATGTCCAGGTGTTTCCTGTCCAGGTGTTTCCCTGTCCAGGTGTGTTCCCTGTCCAGGTGTGTTCCCTGTCCAGGTGTTTCCCTATCCAGGTGTGTTCCCTGTCCAGGTGTGTTCCCTGTCCAGGTGTTTCCATGTCCAGGTGTTTCCCTGTCCAGGTGTTTTAGGCATGGTTTTGCTGTGTTTTTTGTGTGTTTTAGGCATGACTTTGGTGTGTTATTCGTGTGTTTTTGGACATGGTTTTGCTGTGTTTTTTGTGTGTTTTAGGCATGACTTTGGTGTGTTATTCGTGTGTTTTTGGACATGGTTTTGCTGTGTTTTTTGTGTGTTTTAGGCATGATTTTGGTGTGTTACTTGTGTGGTTTTGGACATGGTTTTGCTGTGTTTTTTGTGTGTTTTAGGCATGGTTTTGCCGTGTTCTTGCCGTGGTTTTTGTGCATTCCTGCCGTGTTTTTTGCATGTTTCTGCCATGTTTTTTGCATGATTTTGCCGTGTCCCTGCTGTGTTCCTGCCCTGTTTTTGCCATGGTTTTTAACATGTTTCTGCCATGTTTTTGGTGTGTCTTTGCATGTTTTTGTCCGTGTTTTTCCTGTGTTCCTGCCCTGTTCCTGCCCTGGTTTTGCCTTGTTTTTGCATGTTTTTGTCCATGTTTTTGCTGTGTTCCTGCCATGTTCCTGCCGTGTTTTTCCCCTGTTTTTGGTGTGGTTTTGCCATGTTCCTGCAGTGTTTTTGTCCATGTTTTTGCCGTGTTCCTGCCCTGTTTTCGCCATGTATTTTGTGTATTTTTGGTGTGTTCCTGCCGTGGTTTTTTGCATGTTTTTATCCATGTTCTTGCCATGTTCCTGCCATGTTTTTGCTGCTGTTTTGGTGTGTTTTTGTCCTGGTCCTGCTGCGTTTTTGCCGTATTTTTGTCCATGTTTTTGCCGTGTTCCTGCCCTGTTTTTGTCCATGTTTGTGCCATGTCCCTGCCGTGGTTTTGCTGTGGTTTAGGTGTTTTTGCCATGTTCCTGCTGTGGTTTTGCCATGGTTTTGGTGTGTTTTTTGTGTGTTCCTGCCCTGTTTTGTCCATGTTTGTGCCATGTCCCTGCCGTGTCCCTGCCATGTTTTTGCCGTGTTCCTGCCGTGTTCCTGCCCTGTTTGTGTCCGTGTTTTTGCCATGTCCCTGCCGTGTTTGTGCCGTGTCCCTGCTGTGTTTTTGCCGTGTCCCTGCCATGTTTTTGCCGTGTTCCTGCCGTGTTCCTGCCCTGTTTGTGTCCGTGTTTTTGCCGTGTCCCTGCTGTGTATTTGCCATGTCCCTGCCGTGTTTGTGCCGTGTCCCTGCCGTGTTCCTGCTCTGGTTTTGTCCATGTTTGTGCCGTGTCCCTGCCATGTTTTTGCCGTGTTCCTGCCCTGTTTGTGTCTGTGTTTGTGCCATGTCCCTGCCGTGTTTGTGCCGTGTTTGTGCCGTGTCCCTGCCGTGTCTGTGCCGTGTCCCTGCCATGTTTTTGCCACGTCCCTGCCGTGTCTGTGCCGTGTCCCTTCCGTGTTTTTGCCGTGTCCCTGCCATGTTTTTGCTGTGTTCCTGCCGTGTTCCTGCCCTGTTTGTGTCTGTGTTTTTGCTGTGTCCCTGCCGTGTTTGTGCCATGTCCCTGCTGTGTTCCTGCCGTGTTCCTGACGTGTTCCTGCCCTGGTTTTGTCCATGTTTTTGCCGTGTCCCTGCTGTGTTCCTGCCGTGTTCCTTCCCTGTTTGTGCCGTGTTTTTGCCGTGTCCCTGCCGTGTTTGTGCCGTGTTCCTTCCCTGTTTGTGCCGTGTTTTTGCCATGTCCCTGCCATGTTTGTGCCGTGTCCCTGCCGTGTTTGTGCCGTGTTCCTTCCCTGTTTGTGCCGTGTTTTTGCCATGTCCCTGCTGTGTTCCTGCCATGTCCTTCCCTGTTTGTGTCCGTGTCTGTGCCGTGTCCCTGCCGTGTCTGTGCCGTGTCCCTGCCGTGTTCCCGTGCCGTGTCCCGGTGCCGGTGCCGTGCCCGGCCGTTCCCTCGGGCGGCTCCGCCGGCGGCTGCAAAGCAAAGCTGGGGGAGGGGCCGGGGGGTTCCGGGGGTCCCGCGACGGCGCCTGGGGAGAGACGGGGTCACCCCAACCCCCCCGGGACCCCCGGGGCAGCCCGGGGCTCACGGCGCCGGGACGGACGGACGGACGGACGGACGGGGGGACAAACGCGACCCGGGGGGACCCCGGGGGGGCACGACCCCCCCCACACCTCCCTGAGACCCCCCCCAATCCCACCCCACCCCACCCAAAGGTGCCCTGGGGGGCTGCGGGTCCCTCGGGCGCGATGGGCCGGGACGTGGGGGCACCGCGGGGTCCCCGTGGGGTCCCTCGGGCGCTGCGGGGCGGGGGGCCCCAGGTGCACCTCGGGGTGCTGGGGGGCTGGGGGGCTGGGGGCACTGGGGGGCAGAGCTGTGGGGCTGGGGGGGTTGGGGGGCACTGTCAGAGCTGTGGGGTTGGGGGGCACTGTCAGAGCCGTGGGGCAGAGCCGTGGGGCAGAGCCGTGGGGCAGAGCCACAGGGCAGAGCCACAGGGCTGAGCTGTGGGGCTGAGCTGTGGGGCAGAGCCGTGGGGCAGAGCTGTGGGGCAGAGCCATAGGGCAGAGCTGTGGGGCAGAGCTGTGGGGCTGAGCCATAAGGCAGAGCTGTGGGGCAGAGCCATAGGGCAGAGCTGTGGGGCAGAGCCGTGGGGCAGAGCTGTGGGGCAGAGCCGTGGGGCAGAGCCGTGGGGCAGAGCTGTGGGGCTGAGCTGTGGGACAGAGCCATGGGGCAGAGCAGTGGGGCTGAGCTGTGGGGCAGAGCCGTGGGGCAGAGCCGTGGGGCAGAGCCATAAGGCAGAGCTGTGGGGCAGAGCCATGGGGCAGAGCTGTGGGGCAGAGCCGTGGGGCTGGGGGACACTGTGGGGCTGAGCCATAGGGCTGAGCTGTGGGGCAGAGCCGTGGGGCAGAGCTGTGGGGCAGAGCTGTGGGGCAGAGCCGTGGGGCAGAGCTGTGGGGCAGAGCTGTGGGGCTGAGCCATAGGGCAGACCTGTGGGGCTGAGCCATGGGGCAGAGCCGTGGGGCAGAGCTGTGGGGCAGAGCTGTGGGGCAGGATCTATGGGGCTGGATCCGTGGGTCAGGATCCATGGGTCAGGGGATCCGTGGGTCAGGATCTATGGGGCAGGGGGATCTATGGGGCAGGGGGATCTATGGGGCAGGGGGATCCGTGGGGCAGGATCCGTGGGGCAGGATCCGTGGGGCACTCACTGTAGGGCACGCAGTCGTACTGCACCTCCAGGTATTTGTAGGTGCCCAGGCAGGCTCTGTGGGTCAGGATGGGATCTATGGGGCAGGATGGGATCTATGGGGCAGGGTCTATGGGGCAGGGTCTATGGGTCAGGATCTATGGGGCAGGAGCCATGGGTCAGGGGATCCGTGGGTCAGGATCTGTGGGTCAGGATCCGTGGGGCACTCACTGTAGGGCACACAGTCGTACTGCACCTCCGGGTATTTGTAGGTGCCTGGGCAGGATCTATGGGGCAGGATGGGATCTATGGGTCAGGATCTATGGGTCAGGATCCGTGGGGCAGGATCTATGGGTCAGGATCTATGGGTCAGGATCTATGGGTCAGGGTCTATGGGTCAGGATCCATAGGTCAGGATCCATGGGTCAGGATCCATGGGGCACTCACTGTAGGGCACGCAGTCGTACTGCACCTCCAGGTACTTGTAGGTGCCTGGGCAGGCTCTGTGGGTCAGGATGGGATCTATGGGGCAGGATGGGATCTATGGGGCAGGGTCTATGGGTCAGGATCTATGGGTCAGGATCTATGGGGCAGGAGCCATGGGTCAGGGGATCCGTGGGTCAGGATCCGTGGGTCAGGATCCATGGGTCAGGATCCGTGGGGCACTCACAGTAGGGCACGCAGTTGTACTGCACCTCCGGGTATTTGTAGGTGCCCGGGCAGGATCTATGGGGCAGGATGGGATCTATGGGTCAGGATCTATGGGTCAGGATCTATGGGTCAGGATCCGTGGGGCAGGGGATCTATGGGGCAGGATCCATGGGTCAGGATCTATGGGGCAGGATCTGTGGGGCAGTCACTGTAGGGCACGCAGTCGTACTGCACCTCCAGGTATTTGTAGGTGCCCGGGCAGGATCTATGGGTCAGGATGGGATCTATGGGGCAGGGGGATCCATGGAGCAGGGGGACCCATGGGTCAGGATCCGTGGGGCAGGGGATCCATGGGGCAAGCTCTCTGGGTCAGGATCTATGGGGCAGGATCCGTGGGGCAGTCACTGTAGGGCACGCAGTCGTACTGCACCTCTGGGTATTTGTAGGTGCCTGGGCAGGATCTATGGGGCAGGATGGGATCTATGGGTCAGGCTCTGTGGGTCAGGATCTATGGGGCATGATCTATGGGGCAGGATCCGTGGGGCAGGATCTATGGGTCAGGGTCTATGGGTCAGGATCCATGGGTCAGGATCTATGGGGCAGGATCTATGGGTCAGGATCCATGGGGCAGGGGATCCATGGGGCACTCACTGTAGGGCACACAGTCGTACTGCACCTCCAGGTACTTGTAGGTGCCCAGGCAGGATCTATGGGGCAGGATGGGATCTATGGGGCAGG